TTGGCCAGAAAAGGAGGTAAGAGACAGCAGTGTGTATTTGTTAAACCCAAATCCCCAAATGATCCTTCCCAACCTTTTCCCCTTTGGGAACCCTAAGTTTGTTTTTTATGTCTGTTTCTGAGAGTCTAAGTTTGTTTTCTATGTCTGTGAGTCCATTTCTGTTTTGTAAATAAGTTTACTTGCACCATTTTTAGATTCTACATATAAGTGATGTTGTAAGATATTTGTCTGACTTCACTTAGAATGATAATCTCTAAGTCCATCCATTCTGCTGCAAATGTCATTATCTCATTCTTTTCTAAGGTTTAGTAATATTCTACTCTATGGCCTTCGATAAGATTCCGTAATTTTCTCTGTGTTTGAGCTACAGTCTTTAAATATTTGTTTCTTGACATTTTACAATTTTTGTTCCAATAATGAATGGATTTTTCCATTTTTACTTCTAATAAGTATAGTTTAAAATTGTTAATTTTTACAGCAAATAGTTTACACCAATAGTTGCACAATAGTTTGGTGTAAACTTTGATTTACTTTCCGTCCTGTCACTTTCCAGTTGTCTTATTAATGCTAGTGGGTTGTTTTTGTAGATTATCTTGGTTTGCTTGTATACAATTACATCATCTACAAATAAGATAATTTTTTCTCTTTTTTGGCTGCACCCTGTACTTGCAGGATCTTAGTTCCCCACCCAGGATAGAACCCATGCCCCCTGAAGTCAAACTGAGGAGTCCTAACCTTTACTGGACCACCAGGGAATTCCCAAGAATGTTTTCTTTTCCAATAGTAACAAGTAATTTTATTTTCTTTAGTTAGCCTTATTACTTTAGTTAAATACTACAAAATACTGTTGAATGATGGTGATGATTGAGGTATTTTTGACTTGTTCTTTGATAGAACATGGCTTCAGTGCTTTATCAGTTAATTTGACACTTGGTGCTACATTTCTGCTTCTTGGGTAATTTTTGTCATATTTAAGTATATCTTTTTATTCTCACCTTATTTAAACTTTTTATTTAGCAATTTTTTTAACCTTAGAGAGAAAGACATTTAAAAATAATATAGAAAACCTATGAGCCACAAAGGAAAAAAAAAAGACATACTTGACTTCACAAAAGTGAAAAGAAATTGGTTTTAAATGGTAAAATGCAATATATATGGAATCTAGAAAAATAGTACTGATGAACCTATTTGTAGGGCAGCAATAGAAATGCAGACATAGAGAGCAAACTTGTGGACTCAGCAGAGGAAGCGGAGGGTGGGATGGATTGAGAGAGTAGCAGTGAAACATCTACATTACCATATATAAAGACGGCCAGTGGGAATTTACTGTATGAGGAAGGGAGCTTGACCCAGTACTCCGTGACAACCTAGAGGGGTGGGATGGGGTGGGAGGTGGGAGGGATGCTGAAGAGGGAGGGGACATGGCTGATTCATGTCAATGTAAGGCAGGAAGATTGTAAAGCAACTATCCTCCAATTAAAAATAAATTTTAAAAAATTTTTAAAAATTTTAAAAAATAAAAATGAAAGAAACCTAGGAACAAGGCCAGACGATAGAACGCCCTGGTAGGCAAGGGAGTGAAAGGACNAAAGACTAAAGTCAAACAAAATGTAAAGTCAAGGAGAAAAATATTTGCAACTCATTTAATATATAATTAATATCTATTAATACAAATCAGTAAGAGGAAATAAACAACATAATAAAAAATGAGCGATGAGTTTAAACAGCCAATTTAAAAAAAAGGAAGCCTAAATATCAATAAATAATAAAGATATGAAGAGATAGTCAAATGTAGAAATTTAAAAAATGCAATATCATTTTTCATCTAGTATATTGGTCAAAATGATAAACGCCAATAATATTTATGGCAGGCAAGGATGCAGGTATAAATGAGCACAAAAGGCTATCATTTTCCGAATATAGTTTGGTAATGTCTATTGAGAATTAAAACACACAATCTGTTTTGGGAAACCTGCCCCATGGAAATAGAAGCATCATACACACATAAGGATGTTTCAATATTGCTCGCAGAGGCAAAAAGCCAGAAATCATCTGAATGCCCATAAATAGGTGAATAATTAAATCACAATATATAATATGATGGGATTTTATTCAGCCATTAAAAAGGATACAGTAAAATCTATATCTGTTGACCTGGAGGGATGCCCATGATATTCTTTTAAGTGAGGAAAAAAAACCAATTTGCAGAGTTATGGGTAAGAGCCTATTTTTGTTGTTAAAAACAAAACAAAAAATAACCCTATAGCAAGTATATGCTGGTAGGGACAGGGAGAAAGGGGTTTGGAGATGATGGCAGGCAGAACAGATTTTAATTTTTCATCAACTTTTGAATTGTTTACACTTGTTAAAAATATATCAGGTCTGCTCATGTATTTAAAAATTAACAAAGAAAATTTGAAGGAGGAAGAAAAGGAACCTGCCTCAGAAACATCAATACATTTCACTTGATTGCTCTGTAGACTGCAAAGTTCATGGCTTCTGTTTATCGATTCCCCTTTCTCCTCCAAGTAAAGTGCACTGGGGTGGGGGAGACATAAGTGCACTAGTCCAAAAGCAGAGAGACAGACAGACAGACAGACAGACAGAAGAGAGTGTTAGGGAGGGAGGGTCAGAGAGAGGGAGCTGGTGTCACCATGAGCCTCCACATCAGGGAACAGGGACTGTGCGGCGGGAGGGGATGCTGTCTTTGGGGACCCCAGAGACAAGAGCCCCGGAAGAGGGCTGCCTCAGCGGGGCAAGGTGGTTTTCACCGCCTCCAAGTGTCTCCAAAGAATTGATGCTTTCAAACTGTGGTGCTGGAGAAGACTCTTCAGAGTCCCTTAGACAGCAAGGAGATCAAACCAGTAATCCTAAAGGAAAGCAACCCTGAATATTCATTGGAAGGACTGATACTGAAGCTGAAGCTCCAATACTTTGGCCACCTGATGCAAGGAGCCAAAGACCCTGATGCTGGGAAAGTTTGAGGGCAAAAGGAGAAGGGATCGACAGAGGATGAGACAGTTGGATGGCATCATGGACTCAATGGACATGAATCTGAGCATACTCTGGGAGATGGTGAAGGACAGGGAAGCCTGGATGCTACAAAGACCAGGCTTAGCAGACAGGCTCCAATCTGGACCACAGACTGCAGCTCTGGCCCCAGCCTGCTGCCTGGCACCCAGCATCACTGACGATGGGGCTGCAGGTGGCAAGCAGAAGCCACTTGCCTATGCCCTTATGGTCTGGGAGCCTGGGGGGTTTCTTACCTGGTCTGCAGAGGGAGACCAAGTTCATATTGGGGTAGAGGGGTGACCTCCACGTTACCTGGCTTGGCTTCGCTGCAAACTCAGTTAATAAGGGATGCCAGATCCAAGTGTGTGGGCCGCTGGCCTCCTCGCCCACATGATTAAAAGGCCATCTGTGTGTCTGTGTGGCTGAGGAGAAGACAAGAGAAGGTCTTGCCCTTCCCCAGGGATGTGTGTGTTTGTGTGTGTGTGTGCGTGTACACGTATGTGCCACACCAGGGCTGGAGCAGAGAAGGCAGAGAGGCCCCTTTGGGGTAAGGTCGCAAGGCCTCTTCTCAATCTATGGGAAGCAACATTCCAGGCCTGCACTCTCCACAGCCATGTCTCTTCCCTTGGTCTGAGGGACACAGACGGGCTGGGGCAGGAGAAAGCCCCAGTGCTGAGGGTGGGAAAGGAACGCTTCTCTGGCTGCCCTCTGCCTGCCCAGGCTCCACCTGCACTCACCGTGGTCCCCATCAAGACTTATCTGTGGCAGCAATGGGCAGTGATGGCAGGGAATGCCAACTCATGGGAATTAAAAATGCAAACAGAGTCCAGGAGAATTAGCCAGGAGGGTGGGCTGCAAAAAAACCAAGTGATGCCGATAAAAAATGTCTGGAGAACAGAGGCTAAGCTGTTAATGCTGATTATGTCTGGAAGGGCTGACCTCCAGGGCACTTTAACCTTGTAAATTATACCATTTGACAACTCTCAAAATTGTATAACAAACATGCCTTACTTTTGTAACAAGACAAAGTCCAAACGATATGAAGATAAATGCCATGTCATAATCCAAAGACAGAGACGTTCGGGAGCCACGTAAAAGCAGCTGCCACGTCCACTAACTTGGGTCCATCACCCCCCAGGGTCAGGATAAGCCCTCATCCCTTTGGCCACCATGTCTCCTGTAGGACCTCAGACCCTGAGTCTTGGGCTAGAACTCGGGCACTTCCAGGCAGAAGGAGCCAAGGCCCCAAGGGCAGGACCTCACCTTTCATTCCCAACTTTGCCACACCCATCTGAGAAAATCCCTCCCCTTCTCTGGGCTTCAGGCTACTCATCTACGAAATAGGGCTACAAAATAGCTGCCCTGTCCACTTCCAGAGCCTGTTGTGAGACCAAGAGCTTTGAAAATAAAATTGCAAACACTAAAACATCATGCAAGCAGCAGAGAGCCATCCACCATGCCTGGCACTGTTGTCGTGACCCGCGATGGTGGCCATTTCCCCTTCTGATGGTGGCCACTTAGGGCACTTCAGCTGGCCACCACGAACACCAAGGGGCCCTGGCACACTATCTGTTTGCTTGTCAGGACCAGGGAAGCCAGGAGCCCCTTTTTCTGAGACATAAGACAAGTGATGAGAAGAGATGGTACACTTCTGCCTTAGAAAGAGGCATTTTCATCCTTTGCAAGAAACCTCAATTGACATCACATTTCTTCACACATCCCTAGCGCTGCTCACAGCAGCCCTGCCCCAAATTTGTGCTTGGTTGTGACACGGCCCACAGGGGCCCCTCCCACGGGAAGCAAGCACCCTGCTGAGGTCCGGCCACCCACGTGGTGCAGATAGAGCCGAGGGCACAGAGAGGGATGCAGACCAGTGTGAGCTGCGTGGGGGTGTGGTGGGCACTGGCCGGCGCCCGAGGCAGCGCCCGGAGGGGTGATGAGCCGAATGTTGGCTGCGGTCCCGAGAGAGGGGGTGATGGGGGCATTACCTCTCCCTCGGGCCCAGGTATAGACGCGGCTGGTCTCAGTGCTTCTGGGCTCTCGCTCTGCTGGCTCCACAGGCAACGGTCGGAAGGAGGGGTGATCAGCCTGGCCGGGGGTCTTCAGGGGCAGGATGAACTTGGGGATCCCTTTGTAGAACCAGGCCCCCGACCTCTTCCAGACCTGGTGGGGGGAGACATCGGCTCAGAGCACAGGATACAGAGCAGCTCTCCCTGTGACATGCGCCCCCTGCCCCCGAGCCAGCCCTCCCTCCCAGCTGGTGTGCAAGAAGCCACTGCCTCCCTCCTGCCCTCCCCCCCTTTCCCTCGAGATTCTGGGCAGAGACCCAAGAGGTGGGAGGAAGAGCCGGGCTGGCCACAGCCTGGTATTGGCCGTGGTCTTGGAGAGCTTCTTGGGAGGCGGTCATCCTTGTGCAGGGCACAGACAGGCCGGAGCTCGGAGTGAGCCACAGATCAGAATTCAGGGCAGAGACTATGGTGAGGTCCCGGAACCCTTAGCATCTGCTTCAGAAAACATCAAGTGCTCCGTAATGTCTTTCCTGATGAAGGAAATGCCTTTGTAAGAAGAGTGGGAGTGGGTGAAGGAAGGCTGTGACCTTTTCCGAGAAGAGGAACCTTGGGGGGGTCAGAGCAGCCGTGCTGGGATAGAATCCGAGATCGGTTGCCCTGCAGCCGGGAGATCTGGATGCATCGACCCCCAGCCCCCCCACTCCCAGTTTCATCTTTGGTAGGTGGGAGGCAGGAGCAGCGCTGGCTCCTGGGGCGGCCAAGAGGGTCAGGCCCACGTGTGAATGTAAATCCCCACAACCTGGGCCCGGGCACGGAGCAGCCACTCGACAGACATGGTGCCCACGACCCTCATGGTCACCCTCCTCGTCTCATCTGACGGACGTGCAACCAGGGGACCAAGTCTCCTACTCAAGAGGGATAATTTCACATCAGAAGACCAGCACTTCCCAGGTGGTCCAGAATCCGCTTGCCAATGCAGGGGACATGGGTTCAGTCCCTGGTCCAGAAAGATCCCACATGCCATGGGACAACTAAGCCCACGGGTCGTAACTACTGAGCCTGCATACCTAGAGCCTGTGCTCTGCAAGAGAAACCACCGCAATGAGAAGCCCATGCACTGCAACGAGGGAGGAGCCCCCGCTCGCCACAACTAGAGAAAGCCTGTTCACAGCATTGTTAACCCGGCGCAGTCAGAAATAAATAATTTAAAAAAATCAGAAGACCCTCATTCTCTAGAGAACAGTGCTCCCCACTCCCTGACCCTCTGCACCACCCTGCTTCTGTGGGATGTTAGCAGGGGCTGGGCCAAAAAAAAGGAAAAAAAGAACAAAATAAAGAAGAGCCCCTGATCACGTACCCCATACAGTACAGTGGGAAGCATTCAATTAAACCAAGCTGTTACGCAGGACTTCTCAGAGCCTTGAACATGCAAATGTGCACAACGATCTCCAATAGGGCAAAAGGAGATGTGGTGCTTCCCAGTGGAACCTACCCAGCAAGTTTTCCTACAGAAACTCAATCCTAGTGATGGGTCTACATAACTGGAACTGTCGCACTTCACGGTACAGCACTTCCTGTTCACTTGTGGATTGACGTGTGCCTATTTTTCCAAACAGATGGCAGTCACCTCCTTATGCTCCAGAGTGACAGACACAGGACCACGGAGTCCAAACCCTGTCCCAGGCATGAGTCACCGAGCCCTCCCTTCCAGCTTCCCTGTGTGGAAGGGCCTGTTTTTGGGCGTGGCTCTTGAATAACATAATAAAGTTATGTTCTGTTCCCTGGTGGCTCAGATGGTGAAGAATACACTTGTAATGCAGGAGACTGGGGTTCAATCCCTGGGTCAGGAAGATCCCCAGGAGGAGGAAATGGCAACCTACTCCAGTATTTTTGTCTAGAAAATCCCATGGATGGAGGAGCCTGGTGGGCTACAGTCCATGGGGTCACAGAGAGTCAGACATAACTCAGCGACTAACACTACACTTGAATAACACAGAACCCATCTAGTGGGATGAATGCTTCATGGAGCCACCTTAGAAAACCCTTTCTGATCCTCTTGCAGCCCTCCTACAATATGTATTTATTTCTCTGAATTGGTAATGTATGCACAAGATCTAAAATTCACAAAGTGTGAAATCAAAATGTCTCCTCCCTCATTCCAAGAGGCATCCAGTGATAACAGTTCCTTGAGGACGCTCTATTATTATCCCCATTTTCCAGATGGGAAAACTGAGGCTTGGACAAGTCAAGCAACTTGCCCAACGCCAGTTCACCATTCTGTTGGCCTCTACATCACACCAGAGATCCTAGTCTCATCTCAACAGTCTAAAGATGTGCAGTGGGGGCTCTCTAAATTGTGGTTGTGAGTGATAAATCCTCAGTAATAAATGAGTGATAAATCATCAGCGCCATGGACACCAAGGGTCTGGATGCTTAGAGGGCAAGGAAGTGCTATAGAGGGAGAGGAGACAAACACAAACAGCCACTGTCAAGGCCACCCTGTTCCTGCAGAGCTGCTGCGTGGATCCTGAGACCAGGTGCCCAAGCCCAAAAGGCAATGGGGAAGCTGGTGAGGGGCTTACCTGGCCTCCCTCTGCTAGGCGGAGGCCTGGGTATCCAACAGTGCTGGCATTGCCTGCCCTCCCATGGTACCCAACCTACTGCCTCCACGTGTGTGAGCCTCAGGGAGACCGAGTGAGGCAAACCCTCTGTGACTGGTGGGGTCTGGGCAGGTTTAGGACCTGCATTGCACTGCCTCCCTAAACAGCCATGGTTCTGCTTTGTCTTTTTTTATTTATATTATTCCTGAGAAATACATACAGAGCATACAAAATTAGGGTCTTCCCTCATAGCTCAATTGGTAAAGAATCCTCCTGCAATGCAGGAGACCCTGCTTTGATTTCTGGGACAGGAAGATCTGCTGTAGAAAGGATAGGCTACCCACTCCAGTATTCTTGGGCTTCCCTTGTGGCTCAGCTGGTAAAGAATCCACCTGCAATGCAGGATACCTGGGTTCGATCCCTGGATTGGGAAGGTCCCCTGGAGAAGGGAAAGGCTACCCACTCCAGTATTCTGGCCTGGAGAATTCCATGGACTGCATAGTCCATGGGGGTTGCAGACTCAGACACGACTTTCACTCACTCACTCACTGGTAGCTCAGCTGATCAAGAGTCTGCCTTCAATTTGGGAGACCTGGGTTCTATCCCTGGGTTGGGAAGATCCCCTGGAAAAGGGCATGGCAACCCACTCCAGTGTTCTTGCCCAGAGAATCCCCATGGATAGAGGAGCCTGGCAGGCTATAGTCCATGGGGTTGCAGAGAGTCGGACATGACTTAGCGACTAAACAGCACAGCATGAGCAAAATTCGGACAATAACAAGACAGCATAATGAAGACAGCCACACAGACAGAGCCCTGCTTAACACTGGGCTGTGAATTCTCTTACACCCTTCCCTGGGCATACACCCAATTCAGTCTCCCCCTTCCTTCCTTCCTTTTTTGGAAGAATAAATCACATAGATGCTATTCTATGATACTTAACTATATATCATAGCAGTTGTTCTGTGTTAATAAATATTGTAATGGTCTCTATATCAAACTATGGTTTATATTTATTAAACTTAGTTAAATCACCCTCTGCCCCACCACTGATGAATGCTTAAATTGTTTCCTATTTTTCACGCTTCTGAAACGAGCTGCAACCAATACCCTGACACACCCAAGAGACAGGCTTCGGCTACTGCCTTAGGAAGTATTCCCAGGAGATGAACTGCTGGGTCAAAGGATGTGTGTTCATTAAGATGACACATACTGTCAGCCTGCCCTCCAGGAAGAAAAGTCAGTTCCCCAGTGGGGCAGGACCCCACACTATGCTGTAAATTTACCCTCTAATCGTTTCTAAGTATACAGTTCAGTATGTTAAGGACATTCACACTGTTGGGTAGCCCATCTCCAAAACAGTTTCTATCTTGTAAAACTAAAACTATTTTTTAAAATTTATTTTAATTGGAGGCTAATTACTTTACAATATTGTGGCGGTTTTTGCCATACATTCACATGAATCAGCCATGGGTGTACCTGTGTTCCCCATCCTGACCCTCCCTCCCACCTCCCTCCCCATCCCATCCCTCAGGGTCATCCCAGTGCACCAGCCCTGAGCACCCTGTCTCATGCATCCAACCTGGACTGGTGATCTGTTTCACATATGATAACATACATGTTTCAATGCTATTCTCTCAAATCATCCCACCCTCGCCTTCTCCCACAGAGTCCAACAGTCTGTTCTTTACATCTGTGTCTCTTTTACTGTCTCGCATATAGGGTCATCGTTTCTAAATTCCATATATATGCATTAGTATACTGTATTGGTGTTTTTCTTTCTGACTTACTTTGCTCTGTATAATAGGCTCCAGTTTCATCCACCTCATTAGAACGGATTCAAATGTATTCTTTTTAATGGCTGAGTAATATTCCATTGTGTATATGTACCACAGCTTTCTTATCCATTCATCTGCTGATGGACATCTAGGTTGCTTCCAAGTCCTGGCTATTATAAACAGTGCTGCGATGAACACTGGGGCACATGTGTCTCTAAAACTAAAACTTTACCCATGAAACAAGTCCCCACTCCCTTCTCCCTCCGGGCCTGGTGACCACTGTTCTACTTTCTAGGAACTAAGTGGAATCATACAGTATTTGTCTTTTTGAAGTACATACAGTATTTGGCTTATTTCACTGAGCGTAATGTCCTCGGGGTTCATCAGTATGGGACTTCCTTCCTTTTTGAGTCTGAATAATATTGTTTTATGTATATATCACCCTTTCTTTATCCACTCATCCATCATTGGATACTGGGTTGCTTCCACCTTTTGGCAAGTCCTTTATTTATTTATTTAACATTTTGTCTATACCATGAGGCATGTGGGAATCTTAGTTTGATCCCCAATCAGGGATCAAACCTGTACCCCCTGCACTGGAAGCACAGGGTCTTAACCATTGGACAGACAGGTAAGTCCCTTGGCTGGTCTTTTATTTTTATCTGTCTCTCCCACAAAAGTCTACCACTCAGTGGGAAGGCCCAGGGCCCCTCTGCTCACTATTGACCTTCAAGCTCCTAGAACACATCTGATACACTGGCTGAATGACTGAATTGGCA